GAGTGGAACCGGCGGGTGGAGGCCGAGTAGTGGTCGTGGGCTCGCGGCGGAGCAGGGCCTCGAGCTCCGCGGCGGAGAGCGGCGCCGGCACGGTTGCGGTGGTGATGGTGGTGGAGAGGGCGCGAGGTGCGGCGAGGAGGACGCGGCGGGGTAGCATGTGCGGCGCGGCGGAGGTGGAAAGGCGAAGAGGGCGGAGGCGGCGGGCGGGAGGAGGTGGAAGTTTGCGACCGCCGCGGCAAGACCACCGGACCAGAGCGAGGCTGCGGGGCGCGGAGGTGGGCCGTTGAAAGGGCCGCCAATGGCCGAAAAACGGAACCGTAACACAACCGAGAGACCAAAGCTGATTTTTTTCGGGGGAAACTTGAGAGCTTTATTATTAAGTAAAAGCGTTCTCTGCGCAGTCATCCAAAAGGCTGCTGATTAAGAAGCTAGGAGTACTGTGTCTAGCCAACTCTCGGTCGCGTCAATCATGTAAGCATGCTTGACACAGATATGAGCCGGACCGTTCGTTGTCCCTGATACATGCTGGATTACAAAAGAAGTAAAACTAATAGCTAGCTCTCCAATCTCTACTATGATCGGTGCCACGACTGAGCGTGAATCGTGGCGATTGGTCCAGAAGTTTACAACCTCCCGGCAATCCGTCTCGAGGACGACTCTCGAAAAACCCCTCAACTTGGCGAAGATGACACCATCTCTTGCTGCCATCGCCACCGCGATGAGAGGGTCTGTTACGCCTGGATATGGTCTGCTCCAAGCCCCCTGGAAGGAGCTCGGTGACCTCGCAACTCCTCCGCCACCCCCAACGCTTTCCTCTCGCCGAACAGCGGCGTCGGTGTTGATCTTTACCCAAACAGAATCCAGGGGTCACCAACCATGTCCCGGTAAGACTAGAGCATGACGACGAGGTACGTCCAGGAGTACGAGCGACTCCTTGGTTCTCCGAACTGGATGTGCGGGATCTAGTCTGTCTTCCCCATGTGTCAGCTTGTTTCTTGAGTGCCAAATAGACCACATAACCGAAACGATGATGGCCCACTCCCGGCTAGTGAATCGATCCTCGCATATGATATCTCTGGCCCATGTATCTGGGTGTAGCCTTGGCAAATGGAAGTCAAAAAGCTGCTGAGCCTCCTCCCAAAAAAGTTCCGCATGTGAACATTTCAGCAATGCGTGCTCCAGGTTCTCCTCCATTGCCAAACAGATTTTGCACAAGTTTGTTTCTCGTAAATGCCTATGCTTGAGAGTGCTCTCGTCTGGCAGTATACCCCTCAAAACGCGCCAGAAAAACACCCGCACCTTTGGCATTACATTTAGCTTCAACAAGGCGCTCCACATCCGCTGATATGATTGTCAATTGAGGGACCGGTAGCCTACCCTTCCTCTAGAGCTTGACGCTCTTTTTGAGTCATTGAAGCTCGGTACGCCGACTTGACGGAGTATTTGTTGGAAATATGAGCAATTTATCAAGTGATTTTATTAACAGAAATACTAGATAAAACATGAGTAGTGTAGCAGTGATAAAACAAGCCATGCGATTTGACAAAGAGAAGGTAAACAACATCTTCATATATGAACCGTAACTAAACATATCTTGAGCAGGCAGTATAGCAAGTTGCATATATGAAATAGAGTCTAACATATCCAGGGCAAACACTAGAACAAGGAACTGTAGCAGAACCTCTAATGGAAAGAGGACGAACACGTACGGGGCAGCAGCAGCAGAAGCGCTGGACTTGGGGTCAATGTCCTCGCCAGCCATGTCGTCGAGGAGGTCGTGGACGTCGGGGAAGAAGTCGTCGTCGGGGAAGTAGTCGTCCAAGTCCGGGGCGTCCGTGATGAAGAAGCCAGTAGTCGCGCTGAGCGCTCCCCAAAAACCTTATCACCCTTCTCTCGTACAGGACTCAAAAAGGTGCGGTCTCGGAGGCCTACTGTCCCGACCTGCGGTGCACGCCGCAAGCCGGGATGAGGAAGAACGTAGCAGCAGCGCAGTGCTCAGGAACTTGTGGCGAGAGGAGGAAGAGATTCTGGTGCGTCTTGCTGAGAGGAGCGACCTCCCTTTTATAGGCGCAAGAGAAGGAGGCAAGAGGGCAGCGCCGGGAGCTGAAGGGACCGAGGGAGATGAAACGAACAGACAGCAGCCGAAGGGTGCAGCGTTCGCATTTAATCTCCACTACAGCAAAACTTTCCATCTCCCGAGTGACCTTTCGTATACCCATAGTGCGTGGCAAAAATTTAGACATCGGCTCGGCTCATTCCCGCAACCCGCGTCGCATCGTGACAAGGCGTGGCGTGGCGTGGCGTGGCGTGGCGAGGCGGGCGGCGGAGCAGGAGCGCGCGTGGATGTCCCTCTTGTTCTCATGCTCATACAAGTGGGGAAAGAACCCCCCTTATAAGGAGGTCCAACTCCCACTAAACTAGCAATGTGGGACTAAACTTTTAGTAGTATCCCTTGCCTTGCACAAATGGGCTAAGTGGGCCTCTAGGATTTATTAGGAATTTCTGAAATAGTTATTGGGCTGCCCAAAATAGACTAAATTCCAGCAATCCCCCACCAGATCCCAGAGGCACACAGAAATTTGCCTTTGGTTCCAAAACACTGTTTTATATACCGGTACGGCAGTGGAGACTGTTAAGTTGAACTTCCACCTAAAACTCTATGCTACACTAGTAAGCAACTTGAACAGTGGACTGGGCCTTGAACTGCAAGTTTTCTGCGAATCTAGCTTCACATAAAGCCTTGACCGATACGTGGCTACCGTGGGTCTTCCCCGCGGATGGAGCTTATGCGTCATACTTCGTGACCTTTCATGAGTTTACTAGAGAGAACCCTACTCTCATAGATTGCGACGTTTGACAATCAGACTCATATAGGTGTGTTCTTCAAAAGATGTTCTGCAGGATAACATCTCTGCTTAAATAAGCCACTTAGAACACATTAAGATATACATCAACCTGCCATGCATATTAGGTGAGTATTGCATCTTCATGGAGTGGTATTGTGAATAGTAGGGATACTCTCCTCTCAGTTGACCAACAGCTTGTCTTCCACATCTAATTCACGGGATCTCCGATCACAAAGAATAGGTTACCACTGTGAACAACTCATATTGTGGGTATCATACCCATCTCCCTTGATGCATTATCTATCACATTACGTGATAGACCCTTAGTAAAAGGATTTGCCAGATTTTTAGACATTTGGACATAACCCAATGCAATAACTCCGGAGTTTTTCATTTTCCTGACAGACTTTAACCTTCTCTGAACGTGTCTTGATGACTTCATGTTATCCTTTGAGCTGCTCACTTTCGTGATCACAGTTTGATTGTCGCAGTTCATAAGGACACCCGGTACAGGTTTCTCAACAACCGGCAAGTCATTCAAGAGTCGGCAAAGCCAATCTGCTTCGACCGTAGCTGTATCTAGTGTTGTGAGTTCTGCTTCCATAGTTGACCTCGTTAAGATGGTCTGCTTGCAAGACTTCCAAGAAACAGCGCCACCTCCATGAGTGAATACATAACCGCTTGTGGCCTTTATCTCATCAGCATCTGAGATCCAGTTTGAGTCACTATACCCTTCAAGCACCTTTGGATGCCCAGTGTAGTGAATTCCATAATTTGCAGTGCCTTTCAAATAACGCAAAACTCTCTCTAGAGCTTTTCAATGCACATCTCCTGGTTTTGAAACAAACCGATCAGTTGGCTAACAGCAAAAGAGATGTCAGGTCTTGTAGCACTTGCTAAGTAC